TATCCATGAAGGGCCTAAAACATTATGCAGCCGATGAGCTATGTTAAAAAGTGTCCTTAATGCCTGGACATAGCAACAATGGTTCGTGCAAAAGTTAGTAGTATTATGAAATAAAATAGTAATTTCCTAAATAATGATTTTTAAACTGAGTTTCCATAACGTATAATGAGCAAGAAAAAGGCCTGACCATACCTGGACATTCTTAGGTGTAAGAACAATACTTTCCCTGAGTTCCAGGAATGCTTCTGACCGTTTTGAACCAGGTGATTGTACAATACTAAGAAATGAGGTAAGTAAAACAAAAAAAGTCTTTGAGATTACAAGCGTTGCATGCAGCAATCAGCTTACCAATTCAGCATATTACAACAAAGGTATGGTCAACAACAACAAACCCAGTGTACAAGTGGGGTCTAGGGAGGGTAACATGTACCTATATTGCATAAAAAAAATTGGCATATCACATTGGGATTTAAAACACCCACAGGAATAGAGTGCATCAAGAAGACTTCTGTCTAGAGTTAAACATTGGTTGTACATGTCACAACATAAAAACCTCACCATTCTATTGGAGATCCACCAAGTTTGTAAAGTGTATAGAAATAGCAATTCGCAAAAGCAAGTAGCCAAATAAAAATAGTTGGATCAGAAAATCATCCAATTGCAAACTATTCAAAAAACATTTTAAAAAAACTTGTTATAGATAAGGCTTACCAATGACAACAACAACAACATTACCCCAGTGCCTCAAAGGCTACCGCGCATTGCAGTGTAAAGTGGGGTTGGATGACGCAGCCTAGCCCCTATGTTTAAAAAATAGAGTAGTTGTTCCCAAATGACCCATGTGAGCGTCAAAAGTCGCATTGACTAATTGCCACTTCACTAAAACACTTCACTAAAAGAAGTGCACACAATTTAAAGAACCATTTTGCTTTATTCTATCATACTCCAAAACCTAAAAATAGTGAATCTTTGGCCCCATCGGGATGACCAAAAAAAAAAATTGATTGCAATGGAAAAGTTGTTAAAATAAAATATACTTTTCCTATGGCTATATTATACTCCCTCGGACAGTCCAACATATTATATTTGTCCCTTTTTACCTCATTGTTTGTCTCGCTATTTTTATCTTATACCATATTTAGTCATGTTCTATGTGGCTCACATTTTTACTTTTTCTTACTTTTTGAACATCAATATCATCCACACAATTCTACTTTTCTTGATTTGTGTGCAAGTATTCCATGTCCCAAAATTAGCGGGACAAAAGTAGTAATATATTTTGTTTTCTTTGTTATATACATAGGGTTTCATGAATTACTTATTATTAATAGTTTACTGTTATCTTTTAGTAGTTTCCTATTTCTAATTTCTATTATTAGTTTCGTATTATTAATATTGAGAAAAGGAATAGCTTCTTATTCCTATTGTTATTTTATATTCTTGGGTTTTGAATAAGGAATTGCGTTTCCTAGAAACATTCTTGGATTCTTGGATTTTGTTCTTTGTTATATACATAGGGTCAAAAAATTGCTACTGGGTATCCCTAGTTTTGTGATAAGAACTGCTAGGTACTCTCAATTTTAAAAATACGTACCTCAAATTATTAGAAAACTTCCCAACGAGAGACCTACGTCAATTGCCCGTTAATTTCGTCCTCATCATATACATCATCATCACCACCATCATCATCTTCTTCTACTACTTCTTCTTTTCCTCCGATTCAGACCCCCTATTTCTCACCCTTTTTTCTTATTATATTGTTGTTGTTATTAGTATTATTAATACTATTCATATTATTATTATTATTATTATTACTACTATTGTTGTTGTTGCTGTTATAACTAATTATTGTTTTACTACATTTAATTCTAAAAAACACTAGTGCCCACCAAAAAAATCATATACCCCCCCCATAACCTTTCCCAAACTCCACTTGGCTAAAAAAGGACTGGAGTATTTAAAATATTTAATAAAAAATTAATTTTGATGATCAATTTATGTATAACTTATAGATTTGAAATTGTTTACTCTGGTATTTAATTAGGTATATAATATATGTAGTACGTTATAATTTACAATAATAAGATGAAAATTAACACTATTTCTATCATTAAACACCACAAAAGTTAAATTTATGTCAATAAAATTTAACACTTTCTGTCATTAAAATACATAGCGTTAAATTTTATCTTATTATTGTGAATTATTACATACTATGTATGTCCCAAAATGATTTTTATACTATTTGAGATTCTGCACATTGTTAGAATAATGCAAATAAATTTTGAATAATGTGTAAACTCTCATATTTTTTAATACCGGAGTAAACAATTTTAAATTTATAAATTATACTCCCTCCGTTCCAATTTTGATTATAATTTTTTTTCTCTCACCTCTCGTTAACTTTTGTTTACTTGTGTATTTTATTAAAACTAACTTTTTTATTAAAACTAACTTTTGTACATAAATTGATCATTAAAACTAACTTTTTTATTAAAGATTTAAAATACTTTAGTCTTTTTTTTACCCAAGTATAGACTAGAAAGCTTATTGGGGGTACATGATTTTTTTGGTAGGGCATTAGTATTTTTTTTAGAATAAGAGTAGTAAAACAATATTTTCTTCAAAAAATAGTAAAACAATAATTAATTTTACTAATAATAATAATTATGAAAAAGAAAAAAAGGGCAGGCTAGGGGTCTCGATCAGAGGAGGGAAATCAAATGATGATGATGATGAATATGTGATGATGAGGATGATGATGAAGTTAAAATTAACGGAGGAATTGATGGATGGCTCTTCCTGGTACATTTTCGAATCATTTGAGTACCTAACAGTGTATATTTAAAATTAAGGGCACCCGGTAGTTCTTATCATATAACTGGGGGTACCTGCCAGCAATTTTTTGACATAGGGTTTCATGAATTACTTATTATTAATAGTTTACTGTTATTTTTTAGTAGTTTCCTATTACTAATTTCTTTATTAGTTTCGTATTATTAGTATTGAGAAAAGAAGTAGTTTCCTATTCCTAATGTTATTTTATATTCTTGGATTTTGAATAAGGACTTACGTTTCCTAGTAACATTAGGGTAAGACTTGTCTTGTTAGGATTTGCCTTTTTTTAGCCCGGGAGCAACCGCCAAAATCAATGGGACAATGCCAGGGAACTCTTGTCAAATTTATTGATGTAAAATAAGGCTTTGCCAATTTATTTATTCAGCAAATTATCATTGAAGCAATGAAGCAAATATTCCTAATTACGGGTAGCCAAGGACTATAGGATCTAAAGTTCTTCCTCTTTCAACCATCGGTAAGACCTTGGATCAGGGCAACCAGATCCATTTCTGTCCTACCCCTTCATATTTCATCCACTAATGACTAAAGCAAAATACGTGTAAAAGAATGAACAAAATGTTGTTAATTGGGTTTCAAACTTTGTGCATCTCTATCTCCAAACTATGTTTTTTTCGCTGATGAGTATGATATACCATGTATTCACCAAAAGATTGGTTTAGCATTTTGAAATTCTTGAAATGATGGGATTGAACATCAAGTGCTACAATGTTTGATTTCGTTCTAGATCCAATGGCTGCCAAACTAGAATTTCATGTGTAGCATTACTGTGAAGGATGTCGCAACATTGATAACATTAAGAGCCTACCACAACCGCAAGTGACATCCATCCATGCTTCAAACTTTTTCACAACTATTAGATCTGTTGTCAAATTTAGAGCGAAAAACTCCATTATCATCACAAGATGAACACCACCTCTAACAACATTGTAGCTGTTGTGAGTTACCCTATTGTCTATGTCATTAAATCTGTAATGATTACTACTTGCGCCCGCTTTGAATGATATACCTCTGATTCATTGTACCAATGGATTCTTTTGAAAGCCACTAGAAGATCTATCATGACGGAAACCAATGGATGGTGTCATATTCAGACACTTGTGGTGTCCAACAAAGTTTGCAGTTAAATGTGGATAAAAAGACAGCTGTGGCAATGTTCAATGCTAGACTAACATAAAGCCTTCTCTTTTGAGCTTAAACTCTTAATTTCCAGTTTTTTCGAGTTCCTTCCACTTCCAGTTTTTTTCAATTTCTTCTAGTTCTATCTAGTTCCTTCCCGCATCTTCCAACTCCTTCCAAATCTCCCTAACTATTCCCATTTTCTTCAAACTCTTTCTAGTTTCTCCAAACAATGACACTAAAATGATGTATTTTTCATGTGATTATTAGTATTATTATGTTCATAGCTATAGTTTATAATTATTTTAACTTGGCACGGTTTTTATGTAAGATGAAAAAGTAATGTGTTTTCCATATTTGCCCTTTTCAATCACTCTTCATCTTTTGTAACCTACTCTCCCCTTTTCTTCAAAAATCAAAACTAGATTCTAGATTTTCTGCTTCATCCTCAACTCGTCCCTGCACACCCATTCCCCAGCCTTCATTATATTCAAATCCAAAGTTCTAGATCTTCTTCTTCAACTTCAGATCAGTCCACCCGCAATTCAGACGTGACCGGCATGCAGCATAGAAAAATCAAAATCAAAATCCCATTACCCTCAGAAATCAAATCCATGATTAGGCCAACAAATTGAAAAAAGAAATTGTAGAGAGATGAAGAGAAAATGATGGCCAAGAAATTGAAAATCAAATCGAGGTTCTTTGTTGCCCTTTTATCGCCGCCCTTTTTTTGTGCCTTTTAGTCAATTCTCCTTCGTTGCTGCAAGAGTGGGTCAGACGAAGAAGATGAAACGAGTGCAGAAGAAATCAGTTGGATAGGTGGGTTGACGAAGAAGAAAAAAGAAAGAAGAAAGAGAGAGGAAGAAGTTGTTTGTGTGAGATTGGAGGAAGAAGAATGAAGAAAAAGAGATGAGAAAAGAGAGATTGGGGTTGATCTGGAGGAAGAAAAACAGATCTAAAGAAATTTGGTGGGGGCTGGGGAATTGAAGAAAACAAGAGAACAGAGAGGAAGAAGAAGAAAATAAAGAAAAGGTGGGGTTATGAGAAGGGGATGGGGATAGAGATAAGAGAGAGTAAAAACGGGTAAAAGAGTAACTTTATGTGTTTTTTATTTCTATTTTAGGAAACGGGAAGAATCAAATGGGACGGCACAAAAAGGAAAGCGAGAAGAAAGATATGGGAAGGGGGAGTAACTATTCTACTACATTATGAAAAAGAAAAAAAATGACTCAACATATTGTAAATAACATGGTTGGATAACAAAGAATATAACTAATATGTAAATTGTTGTGCAAATGTTTTTTGTATAAATTATGACTCTACTACATTAATACTTTATTTTATTAGATCTAGTTCTTATTATCTGTAATATGTAAATTGTTGTGCAAATGTTTTTTGTATAAATTATGACATTACTTTGATTCTTTTATTATCTTAGGCTCTGTTTGGTTCTAGAATTGGAATTGGAATTGGATGAAATTGAATTCTAATTCAATTCCAAATCATTTATTTGGTAATAATTAAAGAATTGATGTAGAATTGTATTATAATTCGAATCTTTTGTTTGGTAACACAAAATCATAAATAAAACTGATATGGAATTCTATTATGATTCCAAATTCACATCCACATTTTTGTGCTACCAAATCTACATATTTTTAGAATTGATGAGAAAAATTTGGAATTAGGATTCAATTCCAAATCCACATGTTTTTGTGCAACCAAACAGCAGAATTGGAAATAATTTGGAATTGAAGTCTCCAATTCCAATTCTATGGCCTGAACACGGAGCCTTCTAAGAACCCTTATTATTTCTACGAGCTTGTTCTTTGGAATTGGAAAAAAGAGTTGGATGTTGGAAAAATAATTAGTTATACACAAAATTTTCCTTCGAAGGAAAGTGGAACCTTATTCTTGATCTAACAATAAGGGTCTGTTTGGTTGGGAGAAAGATTTTTCAAGGAAATTATTTTCCAAGGGAGAATGGTTTCCAAGGAAAGTTATTTTCCCATCAAAATTTTCCATTGTTTGATAGGAAGAAAGATGTTTTCCCAAGTAAATCATTTTCTACTGTTAATATTTGAAAATTGATACTTATAAAGATGTTTAAAGATAATATTAAAATATATTAGGAGCATGGGGCGCAAGCAGCGCGGGGTGGCAGGGGTGAGTGGTGAGTGTTGGGGGTTAGTG